CAAACGGATTACAAGTATGGTTCTAAGAAGATACACACAAAAAATTCTCAATGTGTGACGTTATGGAGCTGGTCGGAGTTTCATCTCAGTGCGCTTCAGGGAGTAGTTATAACCCTTCCAGTGGTACCAGATGACTCCGTCGCCGAAACTCTCTTGAGTACCCAGGTGGTACAGGCCGTTCAGGTTGGACTCGTGGCAATCGCCGTACCACCACGCACCTTTGAACTTTTGAGCACAGCTGGACGGGCTCTCGTCGTTATCTCTGTCCTTGGTACTGAATGGTTTCCCTTCATGGTACTTCAAGCTGTCTCCTGTGAGAAAAACAGACATTTACTCTCCACAACAAGACCAGGTATTCTTTTTGTTGATGCGTGTTGGCAGCAGTTATTTCTTTGAGAATACTTCAAAGAATCCGTTTCATGTCAGACATGTTAATTAAGTTTATATATATATATATATATATATATATATATATATATATATATATATATATATATATATATATATATATATATATAGTAAGATTTTACAGTTTTGATTCAGTTTGAAAAAAAAATTGAAATAAGTTCACAAAGTCATGTTGCCTATTTGCACACGTCTACGATGCCATGATAGGAGAACACACCATAACCTTACCTGCAGTACCGCTGTAAGTAGCTATGTGGAGCTTGTAGTTCTGTGATTCAGGTGAGATGGCAAACATGTTGTAAGCGGCGTACGCCGTGTTTCCCTCCGCATCCTCCATATCCACCCTGAGTTGGTAGAATTTCTGTGAAGCCAGTCGGTATAAGTTGTCATTCCCCAGCCAGAACTCGCCGTTCAGATTGGAAGGGAAGCCGGTCTTGTAGTCCGCCCAGCCCCGGTAGAAGTCCACGCTTCCGTCTTGGCGTCTCTGGAATAACTTTGAGAGCAACAAGAAAACCCGAGATTGAGACTAAATTCTCGACTTGCTGAATTCGCCTTGTCAACCCTTTCAACCTCTGAGACATTTAACATCTTCTCATTCTGTCTGTCAATCCCCCACCAACGTGCTGCCATCCTACTCTAGTGGTATAAAAAGATAACAAATATACCTTTAAACAAAACTTCTCAATAAAATAAAAAAAATTATACCCGCAAATGCAGCTGTATTTCACATTGAGAAATTATAGTTTTTACACCAGACTTACCGTCCAGCCGCCTCCGTCCGTGTCCATATCACAGAAGACGTTGAAGCCGCCCAGGTTGTCCCGTGGATAAACCATGTACACGCCGCTGGGCGTGGTCTCGTCGTTGTCAAGGATGTCCTTACAGTCTTGGGGCTTGTCGGAGTCTGTGTTGTTGGCTAAGGTACACGGTGTAGTGTACAGTTATTGTAACATACTAGTACGTAGCATAATGTATCTATGTATTTTTATCTATTTATTTATTTAGCTTCACCACAAGAAATATACAAATGGAAGGGGGTGAAAAACAAGTGCATGAACACCTTTGCAAGTTGCCCTTTTAAAATTATGAAAGTGGCAAATATTTAGACCGACATAAAAGGCCAATATAACAGCTGAAAACCAATTTACCTAAATTCTTACCAATTTCGTGAAAACGCTTTTCCAAGGCGGTGATTCGGCTGCGTTCGTTGTCTAGGTCGCGTTTCAAGGCGTCAACAGTGGTGGACATGCCGTCTTGGTCGCGTTTCAAGGCGTCAACAGTGGTGGACATGCCGTCTTGGTCGCGTTTCAAGGCGTCAACAGTGGTGGACATGCCGTCTTGGTCGCGTTTCAAGGCGTCAACAGTGGTGGACATGCCGTCTTGGTCGCGTTTCAAGGCGTCAACAGTGGTGGACATGCCGTCTTGGTCGCGTTTCAAGGCGTCAACAGTAGAGGACATGCCGTCTTGGTCGTGCTTCAAGGCGTCAACAGTGGTGGACATGCCGTCTTGGTCGCGTTTCAAGGCGTCAACAGCGGTGGACATGTTGTATTGGTCGCATTTCACGGCGTCAAAAGTCGTCGACAATTGAGATATTTCCTACAAGCGTATATACGTGCGTCAGAATGCCGAACGTAACAAACAAACTTACGCAAAACAGCTTTTTGTATCCTCTTTTAAAAGCAGAAATGAACACTAGAGGTTCATGATCTCATACCTTCGCAAATGATGTTAACCCTTCCGGTTGACGAATTATACAATTTTAATAATTGATTTCGCAAATAAGAGTGCCATTTTGCATGGATTACATCAGTTGATCATATTCTCCACCCAATGACAGCCTTATCTTAACAAAATATGCTATTCTAGCACTTCCTCATAAATTATGCAAATGAGGTCATAATGTCAATAAATTATCTTCATTGATGTTCACCTTCACTTAACTTCATAATGCGGCAAGTATGAAATTACCAGCAGTTACAACTATGACATTATAACAATTTTCCATTAATTATGCAAATTAGGTCTTCATTTACATAATCTATAACCTCAGATGTTTTTCTCGTTCTCAATTACATGTCACAAGTGTTTCATAGTCCTATTATCGAACGAAAAAGATTTATAGAATTGCCTCATTAATTATGCAAATTATCGCCTGATTTACATAATTGTCATCTGATTATGCCAAGCATCACTTCAGCTACTTACATACCAAAATCATGACAATCCTTTAACCGGTTCTTGAGCTATCCACCTTCGGAGATTTTTCAAGAAACGCTCCTGCAGTTCCAGAACAAGCTGCTAGGGGGCCCAAACTCATGTCACTTCTTCCCTACCCCAAGAGCTATCTACCAACCAAAATTCGTGACCCTAGCATATCTAGTTCGCGAGATATCAAAACCGGACGTTCTGCTGCAGTACCAACAAAAGCCTTCAGTGGGCCCAAAATCATTTCAGGTCTCATCAAGACCTACCCACATACCAAGTTTCATGACAATCCATATTAAGCTTCTTGAGTTATGCTGTTCACAAACAAACAAACGGACAAACAGACAAACGCTACTGAAAACATAACCTTCTTGGCGAAGGTAATAATCATAAAATAGAACAGGCTTTATGGTACAATGCTGTTACCTGTTTGTTGATGAACGTCAGAGGGGCGAGTCCCACAGAGACAAGGCTCAGCAGCACGGCGATGCCGGCGGCAAGGCAGCTGCGGTGGGCGCGGAGGAAGCTACAGACACCACGGCGGCCGCTCGCCCCACCCGGATACGCGCGGTCTAGTAAAAAAAAAACTTACCAGAAACCAGAAATACCAGAAGTATACAATTTTTGTATGAAAATTAAAACAAAAACAATTGTAAACGCCTGCATTTAAGAAAAATGAAAAGAAAAACTCTACGGTTATTAGGGAATCACTCTCTCTACCCCAAAACTACGAAATATCCGCCTGTCTGAAGGTAATGTTTCTTGGGATTAACTTTTATTTTGTTCAATAGAAAAGATAATCGGTGAAGACACTAATGACAAGAGTTTTTTAAAATATGTAAAACGTACACAATTCAGCCTACTTTTGACCCGATCAAAATGATCGAATGAACCCTGAAATGAACCATTCATTATTGAATATTTATTCTTTCATTCATTAAAATAGAATTCAACGAAATGAAAGTAGAAGAAGGAGGAGGAGGAGACGAGGAAACACGAGGAAAAACAAATATTATATTTAATTCCATTCCTATAGTATGGACTGAAATAATCACCCAAATCGCCACCGCATTTCCAAAACAAGTTGACATAATGACCAAACCTACATTAATATTACGTTTCTCACATAAAAGCTAGCTGCCACCAAAAAGCAAGACCCTAGCATGTCCAGGACATATAAGATACAGAAATTGTATGTGCTGATGCATTACCCCGAGCATTCACCAGGAGGCGCATATTTGACCTTGACCTTCTTTTTTCGCAAGACCTACCACCGTACCGAATATCACTATGACAATCTATCCAGGAGTACTAAAGTCCAGAAGGGAGTGCTATATTCCGACAGACATTAATTTTAGGAAGTGAAAAATGCATATTACTTTACAGTATACAATAAAATTATACTATTATATTATTATAGTATTAGAAAAATCCTGTCCACAGTTGCGCTCCATCGCATCAGAGACAAAATAGACAACTTCACGGGGCCATGTCAAAGTGGATTCAAAACGAAGCTGCGCAGACATAGTGTGGGCCCAACGCATGCTAGTCTCAGTTGTCATGTCCAAACACCGGGACTTCCACAAGATGGGCATAGACATGTCTCGTGCTTTTGACGCCATAAAACGATCAGAAATCCTAGAAGTGCTAGACCAGGCTGGGTGTAACAACGACGAACTGCGACTGGTGAGACTACTGCTGTCAGGTACTAAGCTGAAGGTACGTGTTCGGTCGACACACTCAGCTGACTTTGAAACATCCATTGGTTCCCCACAAAGAGACAGTCTGTCCCCAGTGTTGTTCACCTGCTACCTTGCAGCGGCATTAGAAACAGTGCGGAGATCTTCAGCGAGACCTAATCCACCCGTCTCTGAACTGGGCATGCCCCTAGAAATGGAGTATGCAGACGACGTGGATTTCCTAGATGAGGAAAAGGCCCCGCTAGAAAGACTCTTACCTGCTGCGGCAAGAAACCTCAAAGACTCAAACCTGTTTGTGAATGAAGGTAAAACAGAATTCACACACGTCTACTTGGCTGACAAACCACAACGAGGAGAAGAAGAATGGAGGAAGAGCAAAATCCTGGGGTCCCTCCTCTGTAGTTCAGCTGAATTAGATCCTTCTGTAAGATCTGGATCAGAAGATCTAGGATTCCCATGACAAGGAAGCTACGACTGTATAACGCCTGTTGTGTTTCCATCATGCTATATAATTGCAACAGCTGGGCAGCACCAAGGACAGTCATAGAAAAGCTGGACACCTGCCACCGCAAACATCTGCGTGCCATCACAGGTCTTTAATGGCCAAGAAGCAGGGTGACCAACGACACGCTGTACAAAGTCTGTAATACGGAACCTCTCTCCGTGAAAGTTGAGAAACTCAGGTGGTCTCTGTTCGGACATATTCTCAGAATGCCACAAAACACACCGGCACAAAAAGCTCTGGAATTTTCATTCCTTAGCTCTAAGAGATATAAAGCTCGCAGGGGGAGACATTGTATCAACCTACTCAGCCTACTGAAGGGAGACCTGAAGCGCAGAGGGCTAGGCCCTCCCACAACAGAAAAGAAACTCAAGGAGCTTAGAGAGCTCGCGAAGCAGAAGGCACGGTGGAAAGAGATGAAGAAAGACTGAATGCGCCTACAGGACATTTCCACACGACTGTAGACGCAGAACACAGTGAATGATGATGATACAATAAAATGCCCATTTTGCGCACAAGTCTTAAAATGCATCGAATCCGGGACAAACTCTCGAAATACCCTCAAAACTATCCCAGAATACACCACGCTACCCCCATTGGTGTCTATGTTTTGACCAAGAAAGTTACGTTACAGACCTAAATTCGGGGCGATAAGAAAAAATCGTGCTGTTTTGTGTTCTTTGATATGTTACCAACCATTGGCCTTCTCGGTGTCTCGGCCTCTCATTTATGCAGAAAACATTGACGATGAAATATAACGATGTAATCTGATTATTTTTTCCATAAGCGGCGTAATCTAATTATCTGTTCAACTGATATTTACATACAAATAAGTTGAGAAAATCAAAACACAAAGTATCGATAAAACTGGCTCTATCTCAATCAAGTATCCCTCCGCTATTGTGTAGAGACGTCTCACATGTTAGGTATGGGGATTGATATCGGGTGGAAGTGGGACGTTTCTACACCGACGGAGTCTTCCTTTAGCAGTGTCCTGCTCTAAGTAATACAAAGGGTGGGTGGGTGGGTGCACAGCCGTTTAGGTGGCTGATTCCTTTGTGCCCCCCTCCNCCCCCCCCCGTACCCTCCTCACGTCTTGGTTTCCTTGTGGCCATCCCTCCAGTGTCTTTGTCCTGGTTCCGAACGTGTGACTAGTTCCTTGTATTCTCCCCTTTATTACTTTGCCCTGCTTACGTGGCATCCCTAATTACCACCTGTCTGGATTCACCTGTGCTACATTGATTGGTTTACGCAGTCTCTACTTACGCGGGGGATTACTTGATTAAAATATGGCAGCTCGCTGCATTAGACATCCTGATATTATAGTATCCAAGCCACAGGCCAAACAAAGTAAAGCAAGTATGTTCTCAATAATCAGCTTATAAGTGTGTTTGTCACTATTGTTTTCGCCAAAAATGTTAATGTTGACTCGAGGTATTTGAGCATTGCATAATCAAAAGTTCCCGGATGTATCGATGGTGGTTCAGCATGGAGGAATATGATATTGATATCGCTTTACAAACATGCGCCGCGCAAGTCGTACAAGCGAAATTATGTAAAAACTACGGATAGTTATATATTCAATGCAGAATAATCTACCGGAAAATAACACTCCCTTCTGGACCACCAATACACATGCGCGCGCGCGCACACACACACACACATACACACACACGTACACGCACACACACACACACACACACACACACACACACACACACACACACACACACACACACACACACACACACACACACACACACACATACACACAGACACACACACACACAGGCAAAAGACAATCGGCTACTCCAAGGTCCAAATTCCTCAGATAATGCATCCGTGCAATATTAAGAGCTTTTGTAGACGTTGGTGTCTTATTTTGCCCAATAATTATGAAAATAAGTTCTATTCTTTGTCAAAATCCATTATGCAATTGACATCCCCATTCACATGATTTATGTATATACTACCGCTGCACTGCACAAGTAATACTTAAGCGTATCATGAACCTGCAAGACTGGTGAATTGTGTAGTATTTTTTGATTTTGAATCAATTGTCTGACTGGTTTGTAACTGCCATGTAACCGAAATGAAACGAAACCTACAGTGGGTGCTACTGGAAGACAGAAAAATGTCCAGACTGTGCATGATGTAATAAATGACTAATATTATAAAATGGTGGACGTGCCAACCACCACTAAGTATCTGATATCAGCCCAGAAAAGAACAAGAAAAAGTCATGCCTTCAAACAATTATCAATCAAAAATTGAGGTGTTCAAAGACTTGTATTTTCCAAGAACTATTGTAGACTGGAACTCTTTGCCACCAAGTGCAGGGGCGTCATCACTAGAAAGCTTTAAACAACTCCTGCAATTAAATGTGCAGACAGAAATTGGGTGTAACAAGTCGTTCGGTGTAATGTAGCTAGCTGCTGCCGCGCCGCGTGCCTGTGAAGCTGGTGTGTTACGCCGAAGATCATACCGGCTATACTGATACAAAATGCAATAGCATACCCTGAAAGCCAGAACTCGTTTTCCGGGCCGCAAGAGCCCTTCGCCCGCTGGTGTAAATTACCGCTACGGGGGAGTCTAGCCCGGGGGGGAGTCTGGCTGGCCCTAGTAATAGGGCCGGACAAACCCCTCGGCCTCACTCCCCCGTAGCGGTAATTTAGATAGGCGGGGGAAGGGCTCTTGGCTGCCGAAGGAAAAGGGCTAACGGCCCGATACTAGTCTTGCATCCAGGGTAGCAATAGCAAGATACAAGACTATAGTCTTCCTGTAAAAATATCCACTGTAAAAGACGGACTTAAAGCGCTGGTTACCTGCTGACGTGTACGCTGCGTGACGTCTCACCGCCTCGGCTTCTTCGTACGTGTGTGAAGACGCATCGTCGTCTTCTGGCTGCTTGTCGGGAGCGCCGTTGCCCTGGCGGACATGCCCGCGTGAACCATCCTGATGGACGTGACGGGGCTGGGGCGGCCCGCTGGTGTGTCCGCTGCCGGGGCCGGAGAAAGAAGGCCGGACAGCCTCTGCCTGCTCGTACATTTCACCGTGCTGTATTAACTGTGTACTCACTGTGACAAAAATTATAAATATACAATATGATACCCTGATTAGTCTGGCTTAGTAAGCTCATATTTGGAAGAATAACGTGGCATGAGGGGTTTGGTGAGATGACGTGCGAATGCGGCGGCGGCAATTTTTAATGTGAGAAATAAACCAATCACTACTACATGTACTACTACTAGTAATATTTTCTCTTTTTTTCTTCCACTCAAATATCTTTTTATGGATAATTATTTTGCATTTCATTGTTAAAAAATGTATTTACCTTTCAATCTTTTAGGTTCTTTTCCAATTCTAGTCTGGAGGAAATACATGCGCCATTTTAAAAAAGAAAAAGGAGATAGAGCGGTCCTCAGCAACTACAGACCTGTTTCACTGACCTGCATATCCTGCAAACTTATTGAACAACAGTGCATGAACAACTATGAAAGGGGTGCTAGAAATGACAAGAAACCTACAGTAGGTGTCACTGGAAGACAGAGAAAAAATGTCCAGAGTATGTATGATGTGAATAATGACTAATAAACTGGTGGACGTCCCAATTACTAAGTACCTAATACCAGCCCAGAAGAGAACAAGAAAAGGCCATGCCTTCATTCAAGTACCAGAGTTATTAACCAAGGATTGAGGTGTTCAAAAACCACTGCTTTCCTAGAACTATCGCAGAGTGGAAGTACAGTAAAGGCATTGTCACTGGATAGCTTTAGACAATATGTGGATTTGGCCGTTCAAGGGTTAGGTGTTACAAGTCATGCAGTGTAATGTAGCCAGCTGCTGCTGCGCCACGTGCCTGCGAAGCTTATGTGTTACGCCAGAGGGGGTTATACTGGCTATATGGAACAGATGGTCAATTAGACCCTTTTTGGTGTACCAAGATTTCATTTTTTACACAACCAGTTACAGTGAAAATTAGAGTTCCCCGATCTCATACCTTCGCCATTGAATGATGTTAATCTTTATGGCTGACAAATTATAGATCATTCCCCCTGATTGTGCAAATAGCATCCTAATTTTCATAAATTATACCAGTTTATCATATTCTCAACCAAAAGACAGTCTTATATTAACAAACAATGCCATTCTAGCATTTCCTCATAAATTATGCAAATGATGCCCTAATTTGAATACATTATGTTTTATGATGTTCAATGACCTTCAATGAACTTTCAAATACCATAAGTATGAAATTCAAGAAATTTAAATTAAGGAACAACAAAGGCAAGTACCGAAACAGATGTGAACACGTGGGTTATTGATAGAAGATTTGAAAAAAAAAGAGTGATGAAACCAGTATTCAAGCGTATTTTAACATTTTTAACTTTTAATTTTTCTTAAGAAATCGTAATCATCCATTTTCTACCTTATGGCAACATCTTTTTGCCACCAGCTTGTTGACTCAAATGAAATATTCAAAAAAGATTACCGCTAGTTGCTTGTTTCATACGCCCACAATAATTGTCTTGCTGCTAAGCTGCCAGAAGATCATGTGGATTACTTTATCAGAAGGAGTTCGTTCTTTCTACATCCTGTGAGAAAGATGAAAAGATTTTATTTTATTTAGATGGGAGTCGTGGATGTCTTTTCTCTCCGTATCATTCAAAGCTGATTTTGTCAGTAAGACAGATGGTACTTGTAATTATGACAGTGTTTAGGGACTTTCAGAATCGACCATTGACACTGACATGGTGAACATATCAATTTCACTATATTGATATTATTCATTATAGAATCCATTCATTCCTCTTGATGCTCTTGCTTACCCAACATGAAATATTCCAGATGTTTACCAATATCTGCCTTTTCTCCGTTTTGACTTACGCCCACGTGATAATAGTCTGGCTGCTCAGCGGCCAGAAGATTACATGGATACTTTATCATAGAAGGTCCGTCCTTTGTACAGTTTATATGTAAGATCTTCGACAACTAAGCCAGGCCAAAACATAAAAGATGCGAAGAAAATCATTTGCATATGAGGATTAGGGGGCTATAGTGGTCAGATTTGGGCAGATGTCACATCCTTCTTTCAGCGACTAGAAGCCCTCTTTATACATGGGTACTTCATGACAGAAAACACTTTGTAAGGATGTGTTAACGTGGCCAATTTGATTGGTCTTTGTGGTGCCTGATGCGTCATTATGATGTTGCAGTGCAACATTGATTGGTGAAGTTGTGTGCCATCCTCCATAGTTTCCTCCGGCTCCCTTACGTTACTTGTCACGCCTGACGCCTATGGACGTCCTAAAAACAATGAGAATAAAAAAGCATGTTAGTGAAAAAAATATATGAGTTTCATGACACATCAATAAAACAAGCAAGACCAGGCATTTAACATGTTACTAATTGATTAATCAAATGACCTGACTTACATAATTCATACTCATTTTCATCTAACTTACACACACGTCACAAGTGTTAACAAAACCACTGGAAGGCACAAGACAAGACATGGCGACGGTGGTTGCTATTAGGGTTATTTTTTTCATGGCACTGCAATTATTTCATGATTTTGAGGAAGACTTGGTTCCTGTTAAGTCTAGACAAATACAGTGGACTCCTCCCTTGAGTGTATAGTGAACGAGCCCCGGGGTCACAGAAAGTATGGCCACCCGGGCAGACAGGTCTTCCCAAGGGTTTCCAGGAATGTGGGCATAGATGTGGGTCAGAGAAATGCCTGTGGACATTCCATTCCTGTGGACAAAATGCCTGTACCATTCCTAGAATTCTTGCAAACTGCACACAATACTGTACCATAAGGCTCCTACCTGAGATTGGACTAGAACCTTCAATTGGTTACATCAGTGCATCTTAGCAACCTTTTGTCTAAAATGGTAGACTGTGACTTTCCCTGTATGAACAAATTCTATGTTCATGTTTATATAATTGTAAAGTGAAATGCTCTCATTTTGCTTATAGACCAACTGATTGTAGTTTTCTGCTTATTTGTAATGTATCCTGTATAATTGAGACCATCTGAATGGGTATATATATCTAGTTGCGAACTGTCAGAAAATGCATGTGTCTGTTTATTATTCTGTCACGTATTCTCACATAGATTCCATGTATATCTCTCTAAATAAAAGAGTGATAATTTCATGTGTAGATGCTGCTGATATTGAATATTTAAGTGGATACATCATGGCTGTTACGAAGGGAGTAAAGTAACTCATTTAAGTGCGAATATGGGGCCCGGGTGGGGGTGGGGTGTCTGTCTTAGGGGCTGTGGCTGTTGGTGGTGTTCAGCACCAAGGACAGGTCCTGTATCTGTCGTTTAAACAGCTTAGCCTCAGACTTTGTGTGGAAAATGTAAAGTTTGTCATCGCTGGTTGCCCTGTTTGGTCGACGTATTAGTACAGATATGAGAAAAAACGCCATGTGGCATCAAGAGTTATGTGCATCAAGGTCAAGCTGCTGCACTTTGCTAGACCCTCGTCAGGAGACTGTTCACCGTAATCTATACGAAATTCTCACCTAGCTATATTATGCAGTACATTTCATTGCCTTGCATTGAGATAGAAAGAACCGTTGAGAGTTGTATTTGAAGAGTTCACGGAAAAGTCACCAAATCGGTCCGGTCCACGGAACTTTGGGAATTGCCGGTGGCTATTGACAGGATCGTCCTGTCAGTAACAGAAAGTATCGCACTACTGATAGGACCGTTTTGGAACTATTGGCAGGATTTTGTTTTTCATTTTTTTCCCAGGGCAATTTTTTATTCATTTTTTAACCAGGAATATATATTATGCTAATGTACAGTATATTACGCTACCACCACATCGTAACGTTACCATACAGAGGGATTAATTAGAATTTCATATATAAGCTGTCTGAAATTCGAAAGCAGCCATGTTTACAATAAATGTGTGATAAAGAAAAAAAGTAGATAAGTTTTTGTCTCTATCCTTTATTTTTTCAACATCTTCAACAAACTAGTGCCGATTCATAACTGCCGCAAAGGGCCATCATGTTCCGAATTGTCGTAAAAGCCACTATGTATTAGTACATACAAATTCACAATACTAGCTTTGTATTTTTGTTGTTAAGCAGCAATTTATGCAGTATTCTCCCGCGCGCACTAGTTTTGGGGGTCTGCAGAGGATGCCATCTATATAAGTCAGTTTGGCCTAGGTTAATACACAATTTTATGTGGCTTCTTACATTTTGTAAGATACAACTGGAGATACAACTCTGCGGCGTGTACATTCACTCGCTATTGTGTTGACAACAATATACGGTAAGAGTAACTTAACCGTTTGACAACTAGAAGTGAACCACATAAGAAGAAACATTTATATAACATACCATAACCATAAAATTCAAATGCTGAAGTAGATCTTTTGCCTGTCTCGCAAACTGGGCGTAAAATCCAAATGTTACTTGTACTAGACTTACACAAGACAGGTGTTAAAGTTTGCAATGGTGTTTCAGAAAACGTAGATGACTCTTTCAAGAGAAATGTTATATTTTCTAATTATTTCTTCTGTTGGTTTTCTTCAATCAGCATATAGTAAGAGTAAAGAATCTAAATATTAATATTCAAGCAACAAACTTCAAATCATAGTACATTATTTAGAGTATTAAAAAAGTTGATGAAGAAACACAAGTGGACAGTTATGGTATTTTAGAAATAGCCAGAGGGATTTTTTTAGAGATACTATATTTGGAAGATGCAAAATAATTGTAAAAAAACTTTACATGTATCCCAAGACCTCATGAAATCACTACAGACATAGCGTTTTTACATTGAATCAGTTAAATAGATACTGAGTCTGGGATGGCAATCTTTTATAGCGTAAGGACTATCAATATATATTAAAATGACAACCTTTTATAGGGATGGCAACCTTTAATAGGGTAAGTATTGTTATATATTTTAAAAACCTTAACTGCGTTTTTCTTTTCATTGTGAGATCACTACTAGTAACATACAGCAATACAGTTGATGACCTCCAATGTTAGCCTTAGAGTCATGCTCATGTAAAATGAGAGAAAAATCACATCATTGCAGGAGAAATAGCACAAACACTGCAAACGGATTACAAAGTATGGTTCTAAGAAGATACACAAAAAAAAATTCTCAATGTGTGACATTATGGAGCTGGTCGGAGTTTCATCTCAGTGCGCTTCAGGGAGTAGTTAAGTTTCCAGCTGTGCCAGTGGACTCCGTTGCTGCTACTCTCATGAGTAGCCAGGTGGTACCGGCTGTTCAGGTTGGAGCGGTAGCAACTGTTGTACCACCACGCACCTTTGTACTTCTGAGCACAGCTGGACGAGTACTCGTCGTTATCTCTGTCCTTGGTACTGAATGGTTTCCCGTCATGGTACGTCAAGCTGTCTCCTGTGACAAAAACAGACATTTACTCTCCACAACAAGACCAGGTATTCTTTTTGTTGATGCGTGTTGGCAGCAGTTATTTCTTTGAGAATACTTCAAAGAATCCGTTTCATGTCAGACATGTTAATTAAGTTATATTATATATATATATATATATATATATATATATATATATATATATATATATATATATATATATATATATATATATAGTAAGATTTTACAGTTTTGATTCAGTTTGAAAAAAAATTGAAATAAGTTCACAAAGTCATGTTGCCTATTTGCACACGTCTACGATGCCATGATAGGAGAACATACCACAACCTTACCTGCAGTACCGCTGTAAGTCCCTATGTGGAGCTTGTAGTTCTGTGATTCAGGTGAGATGACAAACGTGTCGTAAGCGGCGTACCGCGTCTCTCCCTCCACATCCTCCATATCCACCCTGAGCTGGTAGCCTTTCTGCACAGCTAGGCGGTACAAGTTGTCATTACCCAGCCAGAACTCGCCGTTCAGGTTGGAAGGGAAGCCGGTCCTGTAGTCCGCCCAGCCCCGGTAGAAGTCCACGCTTCCGTCTCGGCGTCTCTGGAATAACTTTGAGAGCAACAAGAAAACCCGAGATTGAGACTAAATTCTCGACTTGCTGAATTCGCCATGTCAACCCCGTCAACCTCTGAGACATTTATCATCTTCTCATTCTGTCTGTCAATCCCCCGCCAACGTGCTGCCATCCTACTCTAGTGGTATAAAAAGATAACATATATACCTTTAAACAAAACTTCTAAATAAAATTTAAAAAATCATATCCGCAAATGCAGCTGTATTTCACATTGAGAAATTATAGTTTTCAGACCAGACTTACCGTCCAGCCGCCTCCGTCCGTGTCCATATCACAGAAGACGTTGAAGCCGCCCAGGTTGTCCCGTGGATAAACCATATACACGCCGCTGGGCGTGGTCTCGTCGTTGTCAAGGATGTCCTTACAGTCTTGTGGCTTGTCGGAGTCTGTGTTGTTGGGTGAGGTACATGGTGTAGTGTACAGTTATTGTAACATACTGGTACGTAACATAATGTACCTATGTATTTTTATCTATTTATTTATTTGGCTTCACAACAAGAAATATACAAGTGGAAGGGGGTGAAAAACAAGTGTATGAACACCTTTGCAAGTTGCCCTTTTAAAATTATGACACATGTAGTGGCAAATATATAGACCGACATAAAAGGCCAATATAACAGCTGAAAACCAATTTACCTAAATTCTTACCAATTTCGTGAAGACGCTTTTCCAAGGCGGTGATTCGGCTGCGTTCGTTGTCTAGGTCGCGTTTCAAGGCGTCAACAGTGGTGGACATGCCGTCTTGGTCGCGTTTCAAGGCGTCAACAGTGGTGGACATGCCGTCTTGGTCGCGTTTCAAGGCGTCAACAGTGGTGGACATGTTGTATTGGTCGCATTTCACGGCGTCAAAAGTCGTCGACAATTGAGATATTTCCTACAAGCGTATATACATGCGTCAGAATGCCGAACGTAAGAAACAAACTTACGCAAAACAGCAGTAAATTCCTTTTTGTATCCTCTTTTAAAAGCAGAATGAACAATAGAGGTCCATGATATCATACCTTCGCCAAATGATGTTAACCCTTCCGGTTGACGAATTATACAATTTTAATAATTGATTTTGCAAATAAGAGTGCCATTTTGCATGGATTACATCAGTTGATCATATTCTCCACCCAATGACAGCCTCATCTTAACAAAATATGCTATTCTAGCACTTCTTCATAAATTATGCAAATGAGGTCATAATGTCAATAAATTATCTTCATTGATGTTCACCTTCACTTAACTTCCAAATTTGGCAAGTATGAAATTACCAGCAATCACAACTATGAAATTATATCAATTTCCCATTAATTATGCAAATTAGGTCATTTACATAATCTATAACCTTAGATGTTTATCTCGTTCTCAATTACATGTCACAAGTTTTTCATAGTCCTATTATCGAACGAAAAAGATTTATAGAATTTCCTCATTAATTATGCAAATTAGCGCCTGATTTACATAATTGTCATCTGATTATGTCAAGCATCACTTCAGCTACCTACATACCAAAATCATGTCAATACGTTAATCGGTTCTTGAGTTATCCACCTTCTGAGATTTTTCAAGAAACGCTCCAAGAACAAGCTGACTCATGTCACTTCTTCCCTACCCCAAGAGCTATCTACCAACCAAAATTCGTGACTCTAGCATATCTAGTTCGCGAGATATCAAAACCGGACATTCTGCTGCAGTACCAACAAAAGCCTCCAGCTGGCCCAAAATCTAATAATTTCTAGGTCTCATCAAGACCTACCCACATACCAAGTTTCATGACAATCCACATTAAGCTTCTTGAGTTATGCTGTTCACAGACAAACAAACGGACAGACAAACGCTACTGAAAACATAACCTTCTTGGCGAAGGTAATACTTATAAAATAGAAAGGCTTTATGGTACAATGCTGTTACCTGTTTGTTGATGAACGTCAGAGGGGCGAGTCCCACAGAGACAAGGCTCAGCAACACGGCGATGCCGGCGGCAAGGCAGCTGCGGTGGGCGCGGAGGAAGCTACAGACACCACGGCGGCCGCTCGCTCCACCCGGTTACGTGCGGTCTAGTAAAAAAAAAAAACTTACCAGAAACCAGAAATACCAGAAGTATACAATTTTTGTATGAAAATGAAAACAAAAACAATTTCAAACGCCTGCATTTAAGAAAAATGAAAAGAAAAACTCTACGGGTATTAGGGAATCACTCTCTCTACCCCAAAACTACGAAATATCCGCCTGTCTGAAGGTAGTGTTTCTTGGGATTAACTTTTATATTGTTTAATAGAGAAGATAATCGGTGAAGAGACTAATGACAAGAGTTTTTAAATATGTAAAAAGTACACAATTCAGCGATGTACTTTTGACCCGATCAAAATGATCAAATGAACCCTGAAATGAACCATTCATTCATCCTTTCATTCATTCAAATAGAATTCAACGATCGCGAAATGAAAGTAAAAGGAGGAGGAGGAGGAGACGAGAAACACCAGGAAAAACAATATTTAATTCCATTAGTATGGACTGAAATAATCACCCAAATCACCACCGCATTTCCAAAACAACCTGACATAATGACCAAATCTATATTAATATTACGTTTCCCCACATAAAAGCTAGCTGCCACCAAGAGAAGTCAGACCCTATCATGTCCAGGACATATAAGATACAGAAATTGTATGTGCTGATGCATTACCCCGAGCATTCACCAGGAGGCGCATATTTGACCTTGACCTTCTTTTTTCGCAAGACCTACCACCATAGGGCACAACCCACTAATTCCAGCCCCTATTGGAATATATAGAAAACAGCTAAGAACTGAGCTGTCAACAATCACCTACTTGAGTGTTCAACTATTGCAAACACACACTGACAGGGTAGTCCAACTTCCAAATTGTCCATTTAGTCCAAAAATTTAACTTTTTGACCAGCGGTACTAGCACGGCAAATGCAAACACTGGCAGCATGACCTCTGACCCCCATGAAGACCACCAAAAGACAAGAAGATGGGAGTAGTTTTAGAACTCTACCAAGCAGCCAAAACAACACTAACAGACAGTTTTTTTTCAAGTTAATAGAAATAGAAACAAGAAGCCATAGGCGACAATTCTCCGTGAAGTATTATATATTGCAACAAAAAGAAGTAGCCATTGGCGACAATTCTCTGTGAAGTGTGATAAATCGAACAAAGAAAAATTGTTTAAACGCGCGTCGGCTCAGTCATCTTAAGACGCAACAACCAATCAGAGATGCGAGATGCCTACACGTGACGCGGGAAGGGCGCGCGATGCCCGAAATATTTTTGCGTCAATATTCAGCGCCGTGATTCAAGAGATTAATACCCGGAAACAATTTTTTCCTTGTTTTGAACGCATTAACATGCATTTACGCTAATCTAGTATGATTCAGGGTTACTTTTTTTTAACCTGCCATGGCCAGATTATCTAAAGATGTGTGTATTGTGTGTACAATCTATAGAAAGAGAAATGTACATCAGGTCCGATCATCCGATTTTCACGTTTCGGTTTTTTGGACTCGGTTCATGAACGTATTTTGGTTTGGCTCCTGGAATGTGCAAAAAAATGACTCCCGGGACTGTCTACAGGTAGCCTGTGTATACAAGCTCTCGGCTGGACGTTAATGACCCCCACCCCAAGATTGGGGGCGGCAACCTAGGGCGGCGGCCGCCAGGAGCGCGATTTTAGTCAGGCTATGTCTACAGGGAACACTCGCACATTCGCGGTGTATCAGGACAGCGCGACTGGTCGTCATTAGCGCAGTAACAGTTGCATAAACGGACGAAACCATTTCAAAGAAATTGGGGATGTTTCGAAGATAAGCATTTACTCCAATATCAAAACAGCTACGGTAAAAATAAAAAGACGTGCATCATCCCGGACATAATGCAACACCACATGCGAAATTACACAGAAATGCGACGTACGGAAGAATGCGTTTTGGCTGCGAACATCTTCCAAAAAACTTGGCATCTCTTAACCATGGGCAAAAACATCTGGAACCACTTATAAAAACCACCCCGTATCTGCATGAACTTTTTTGAACCCCACTGCTATTCCAAACAACGCGTTTTTCTGGACCATTCCAATTCGCCTCGTAATTGTAGGGGTGCGTCTGCGATATTACATTGACCGCGAAAGCAGCAACGGCAAAAATACACATTCGTGCATCAACACGGGCATGCCCGCAGACGGCGTATAAAATTGCGTGCCGATTACACAAAGAGAACCCAGTGTTTTGACTGCGAACATGAAAAATCAGCCGATTACAACACTCCGTCCGGAGGTCCTGACCTCCTTCACGGAGTAATAACTCCCCAGCTGGAAAATGCCAGCATTTATCCACACATACCAAGAAAAAGGCTGTTTTCAGTTGGTTTGGCAGCACTCAATCAAAGGGGTCTCAGACTGGGCCCTCTGGGCATGCGCCAATTGGTGACCTTTGCCCCATACCAAATATCACTATGACAATCAATCCAGGAGTACTAAAGTCCAGAAGAGAGTGCTATATTCCGACAGACATTAATTTTAGGAAGTGAAAAATGCATATTACCTTACAGTATACAATAAAATGTCCATTATGCGCACAAGTCTTAAAATGCATCGAATCCAGGACAAACTCTCGAAATACCTCAAAACTATCCCAGAATACACCACGCTACCCCCATTGGTGTCTATGTTTTGACCAAGAAAGTTACGTTACAGACCTTATTTCGGGGCGATAAGAAATAATCGTACTGTTTTGTGTTCTTTGATATGTTACCAACCATTGGACTTCTCGGTGTCCTTTATTTAATATCGCCTCTCATTTATGCAGAAAACATTGACGATGAAATATGACGGTGTAATCTGCTTATCTTTTCCATAAGTGGCGTAATCTAATTATCTGTTCAATTGATATTTACATACAAATAAGTTGAGAAAATCAAAACAAAAAGTATCGATAAAACTGGCAGCTCACTGCATTAGACATCCTGATATTATAGTATCCAAGCCAGAGTTCAAACAAAGTAAAGCAAGTAAGTTCTCAATAATCAGCTTATTAGTGTGCTTGTCACTATTGTTTTCACCAAAAATGTTAATGTTGACTCGAGGTATTTGAGCATTGCATAATCAAAAGTTCCCGGATGTATCGATGGTGGTTCAGCATGGAGGAATATGATATTGATATCGCTTTACAAACATGCGCCGCGCAAGTCGTACAAGGGAAACTATGTAAAAAGTCGGCTAGTTATATATTCAATGCAGCATAATCTACCGGAAAATAACACTCCCTTCTGGACCACCAATACACATGCGCGCGCGCACGCACACACACACACACACACACACACACACACACACACACACAAACATGAGACATGCCAAAACAATACCTCCATTTTTCATGGAGGGCACACAGACATACCAACAACAAAACCTCCATTTTTCATGGAGGTAATAAAAGCAATATGTGTGTGTGAACATGGATCTGGTTCATCATATATGCATAGTCTACCAGCTCCCACATCTACACCCACGTCTGCAGACAAAACAGTTGGGCAAGTCCACTTCAACTCCTCCCAGGGGAGTGACAGCATGGACAATTCTACATTCTTTGCCATATTCTACTTGCTTTTCATTACGAAACTATTCCTCTCCTCACACACACACACACAGACACACACACACATAAACACACACACACACACACACACACACACACACACACACACACACACACACACATACACATACATACACACACACACACATACACACAGACACACACACACACACAC